GACCCCTTCTATGAGTCAAAGGTCCGGTCAGCTTTTCAGGCAGAGTCCCTCTTACCCTCTCTCCCTCCCTCCCTCCAGCTGGGCTTCTGACATGTGGCAGAGGACAGCCCCCCTACCCCCCATTTTCAGAGAGCATCCCCCTCTCTGGTGCTGTTTGCCATGTGCCCAGACTGCAAAATTTGGACCCTCCCCCCCAGGCATGTGAGTCCCACATGAAGGAAACCCATGTCTCCTGAGGCAGGCCAGTCCTCATGTGTCATTCAAAGTTGATTGCCCTCGATGGCTCTTTCATCATCCCTCCTTGGCAATGCAGCTTGTGGAACAGACTGACCTTCTCAAGGTCACACTGACATTCCCACACAGAATGACACGTAGCAGTTTAAATGGAAGGCACAAAACCAAACAAAGTTCACAGTTTGGATCAGACATGTCACAATCATCATCTAACTTAATTCCCCAATGGAACTGCCCTGATCAATCAGCTATCGGCCAGCTCTCCTCACACACATCCCTGCCGTTTCTGAGAGCAAGGAGGCCGGGGGCAGTCTAGCGTGTGGGCAGACTGGTGTGGAGCTGTGGAAAGGCAGAGAAGATGCTCTGGAGAAGAAATCAAGAGACCACAAGCCCTGCCTTGCTTTTCCTGCCCACAGACACCCTGTGATTTGCTGCCCCGGCCCTGCCCTCTGAAGATCCACAGGAAGTTCAACCGGTCCCTGATGGCAGGGGTGAGTTAATGGCTGCCGGCCTCCTTCCACCCCACCATTCATTCTCCTCCCTGGCTCCAGCAGCCCTGCTCATCCCCTTGTGCACACGTGACTTTCTCACTTCCCCACTGTAACCTCCACTTCCCGGCTCATCTCCCATAAGGAGCACTTGAAATATTGCTGCTTCACTGCATACTGACTGAGCTCCCCTCCCCATTCCAGCCTCAACTCCCCTCCAGAGCATCCCACTGCCCGCACGGCTTCCCCACTCTTATGGTTCCAGGGCTAGATGCACCTCTGTCCTTGCTAGTCTCACTGAGTGCATCCCGTCAGCTGTCAGGCCCCATGCCTTTACTCCTCACGCAATTCTCCCACTCTTAGGCTGGGCCCGGGACTACAGCACCCATGTATCAGCCGTGGTTAACCAGCAGCTCCAACTGAGTAATGGCACATGTGGTGCTTCCCTCTATGGGAGTTTGTGACCAGTGGTGGGGAAAGAAACAACCCCAGACTTCCTAAAAACCAGGCTAGCAGGAGGTCGAGCCAGAATCCTCAGAGCCAAGGGCTCTGTCATTGTCCCTTCAACATTGTCAAGTGTTTGCTGAAGGACGACTTACCTTGAGCCATTCTTTTGCTTCCTGCTTGTTTTTCCTCACAGCCCCCTGTTAAACTAAGCCCTGATATTCACACAGTAAACATCCCAATAACTAGTGCAACATACAGTATTCTTAAGTTATTGCTGCACAGCTCCACGTAAGTTACTCCCCCTCCCCTCCTGTTGGCCTCCAAAGGGGACGGGTGAGGGACTTGGCTCTGTCAACCCACAGGTCGTCCTGCAGTGAAGAGCTCCACTCTGCCAAACCATAGGAAGGTGGACAGAGCAGAGGTCCCCTCTGATGAGCCATAGGCTGCTCTACAGAAGGGGCTTCTCTACAGTTTCTCCCCACCAAGCCTTCTCCCGTTCCGCAGGGCTGAAGGGCTGCTTTTCCCCATCAGAAAGTTTGTGAAATACAAAATGCAAATCCCCTGTGGCCTGCTTAAGCTACAAGGCTCCTCATCTGCCTACCCCATCCCCGCACATTAGCCCCTAAGAAGCACAGGGGGCAGACGAGGGGAAGAGTTGCTGCCCATTGAGCCAGAGCATGAGCGCTTGCACTGCTGCTAATGAGGAGACACGTTCTGTGTCTGACAAACTTCCTTTGCCCTGCAAGAGGGAAGTCCTGCTCTGGTGAGCCTGATTTCCTATTCTGAGGAGGAGTGCTGGAGGAATTGGAGGGAGGCCATGCGCGGTGGCATATGTAATTTTCTAATACAGACTCTCTGAACAAATATACCAGAAATTAAGTTGAATGCATAATACTCCTTAGCCCAGGCAAGTGCCACATAATACATGTCACCGTGAATAAACATATTTATTAGAAAATTAGAGAACAATCAAAAGGACGCAATATATATAAAAGAAATGTGCAACTGCAGTAAGAAATAACTACCCAACCCATTCACATATACATATTGCAGAAACAAAAATTAAATATCCCTGCTATACAGAGGCCATGTTGCCTAGTGGCTAGAGAACTGGACTGGGACTCAGGAGAGCTGTTCTCACTCTAGCCTGCTGAGTGACCATGGAAAAAAAAATCACTGTGCCTCAGTTTCCCGATCTTTAAAACGGGGAAAATACCACTTAGCTTCTTTGTAAAATGCTTTGACATCTACTGATGAAAAGTACTGTATACGAGCTAGGTATTATTATTATTGTTATTATTTATTTATTACCTCGCACACTTTAATGAGGACACCAAGATTTTCACTGACCTGGGAAACGTGGGGGTTTAAACGGAATTACTACAACAATTCATAGTCAAATCTAATTGTTCAGGTTGGCTGGTCGTAGGTTCCTCCAGCACCACCACAGAATGCACTAACTACTCCTGACCTTTTCCTCATGTCACCATTGTGCTGCTGCCACCTTTCTTTCTGCGGATGCTAGTACTGTACTCCTCCAGCTAACCTCTCCCAGATCTTTTCCAACAGCACTATTCAGACTCTATTCCATCGTTGCTGTCAAATGTCTCTCTCTCTCCCTACTTTACCTATTACCTCTTATCTGCTCTGGCTCCACATGAGGGAGGACATGATACCACCTCAAAATATATCAGGCCAGATCCTCAGCTGTGTCAGTCAGCATAGTTCTGTTGGCTTCGCCAGGGAGGATGTGGCCCATCATTACTAAGCATACAGCCCATAGTAAGGGGCAGTGCATAGAGGATCCCTCAGAGGCACTGTGCCTCAGAGATGCACAACACCTTGTGGGGCTCCCTGCTTGTATGGGGGATGGACAGAGTAATTTGTTATACTCCTTTGCAGGATGCAGCATACTTCACTCATGCTGCCAGCCAGTTCCACTGGCTAGAGTGGGTGGGTGGCAGAGCCATGGTTCCACCTAATCTTTGCCTCTCCTTGTACCTTGGGGGGAGCATCTGGGCTGCCACTCCTCTGCTCCTTTGGCTGCTGGGGTTGCATTTGTGGCTGGATCTTACACAGCTGCAAAAGTGAGAAGAATCCTTATTCCTTCCTACTGTGCTGCACAGCCACGTAAGGGCTAGTCATGATGTAGCCCTAGATCACTAATCCCGGGATTAGTCCAAACATTTGCTGAGGCAGAAGAAGAAAATACATTTCGTCAAACTGAACAGAACAAGAGGGTCCTGGGTGTAATTGCTCAGAACAGATGTCAGAATATGACAAAACCTTGGATACCACTGATTTCAGCAACACTGCAGGAGCTCTTCACTTCCCTGGAGCTGCCACGGTACAAACATGCCAAATACTTTTCGAGGAACATCCAAACACATGTTCCTAAAAGACACACAAATTTTAAAAAAAAAATGAAAAATACAATTTCAACTCCCACACCTGAACATGGCTCATTTTGAGCAAGCCACAGATTCATAGCATCATTGATGTTAAGGCCAGAAGGGGTAATCATCTAGTTTGGACTCCTGCATAAGACAGGCCGTAGAACCCTACCCAGTGATTCCTGAATCAAGCACATAACTTCTGGCAGAGCTCATACCTAGCTTAAGAAAAAAGCACTATTGTTTCAGACTGACTCTGAGTAGACTTTTTTTCCTCAGCTAATAAGTGTGTGTATATCCTCCTATACTGTCCTGTATTTCCAGTCAGGACATTTTCATCCTGTACCCTTGTCTCTATCTTGCTCTCGCTCTCTCTTGATGTGCTCATCTGAACAAATTTGTATTAGACATCAGCAAAGCTAAGTTTTCATTTCTTTTAATTAGCACTAATAATTATCTAGCTTCTTATTCAGCCCAATATGTGCACTTTGCTCTCTCACACAACATGTTTTTCAAGTTTTTAACAGCAAGTTGAAAGAGCTAAACAACACACAAGATTGGAGTGATGGCAAGAAAATTGTTACAGTCAAATAACCACTACTGAGAGCAGTGTGAAAGAAACCATCAACCTCCAACCACCAACCCATTTATTATTGCCCTATAAAAAAACAGGTAGCTCAAATGCATTTTGTATCAATGCAATCACCAAACATCAAGGAAATCACCAGTTAAGACATTAAGTTGCAGAGCACCTCATTTCACATACTTGATTTGCCAGTCATAATATCCCAAGACACACAGACTCCATCTCCTATTGCAAATGTTTTGTCAAATTGAGAATAACTCATAATGCACACATCCAATTCCTGACAGCCACACTCCTTTCCTAACTTGTAACTCAGAAGTCATGCTTTCTCTTGTACAAATATTATATGTCTACCACTACTATATCTTTAACTCTGACCACACTAAGGCCACGTCTACAGTACCCGCCGGATTGGTGGGTAGTGATCAATCTATTGGGGATCAATTTATCGCGTCTAGTGTAGACGTGATAAATCGCTCCCCGATCGCTCCACCATCGACTCCGGAACTCCACCAGGATGAGAGGCGGAAGCGGAGTCGACAGGGGAGCGGCGGCCGTCGATCCTGCGCCGTGACGACGCGAAGTAAGTGATTCTAAGTCGATCTAAGATACGTCGACTTCAGCTATGCTATTCTCATAGCTGAAGTTGCGTATCTTAGATAGATCCCTCCCCCCACGCCTAGTGTAGTCCTGGCCTAAGATTAAGTGTGTTGAGAGAGTGCAACACATAGAGTGACCACTGCTGTATTCAGTTAGCCAGCGAGAATAATCCCAACAGGTTTTATTTTACATGGGGAAATACATCAATTTGCAACATGTCCCATTCTACATTCAGCTGGTAGATTTTGGTGACATAATCAAAAGAAAGTTGTGTTCGCTTTTTTAAATGACTGTGGTCCTAATCCTGCAAACACTTGCATAACTTTAATTGCATGCTTACAGCTCCATAACTTCAATGGGACTAGCTGTGTAAGTAAATTCAGGCAGGCACATACCTGTTTGCAAGACCAGGGGCTTTGCTTGTTTTATAGAGTCCATTTCAGAGAAAAAAGGCTACTTTAATTTGATTTAGTTTAATTTAATTTATACCACAGGGCTGGCCAAACTTATTGGCCCTCCGAGCTGCATATGACAATCTTCAGAAGTTTGAGAGCTGGGGTCCACCTGCTGGGGCTCAGGGCTTCAGCTCCGCGGGAGGCGCCTGCCGGAACTCCAGGCTTCAGGCCCCATGGCGCTTCAGTTACACTAATGTGACTGCATGCAGAGTCCTGAGCATTACTCCCAGATCTGCTCTGGACTTTTGTGATGTGGGGCAAGTCACTTATCACTCTGTAAAAATGCAAATAATACCTTACAGGTCATTCTGGGCAACTGTGAGGCATAACTATTGTCCATTATCTTTGAAAACTCATGGCGATCCGGGGAAGTCTCGGACGACTGGAAAAAGGCTAATGTAGTGCCCATCTTTAAAAAAGGGAAGAAGGAGGATCCTGGGAACTACAAGCCAGTCAGCCTCACCTCAGTCCCTGGAAAAATCATGGAGCAGGTCCTCAAGGAATCAATTCTGAAGCACGTAGATGAGAGGAAAGTGATCAGGAATAGTCAGCATGGATTCACCAAGGGCAAGTCATGCCTGACTAATCTAATTGCCTTCTATGACGAGATAACTGGTTCTGTGGATGAAGGGAAAGCAGTGGACGTGGTGTTCCTTGACTTTAGCAAAGCTTTTGACACTGTCTCCCACAGTATTCTTGTCAGCAAGTTAAAGACGTATGTGCTGGATGAATGCACTATAAGGTGGGTAGAAAATTGGCTAGATTATCGGGCTCAACAGGTAGGGATCACTGGCTCCATGTCTAGTTGGCAGCCAGTATCAAGCGGAGTACCCCAAGGGTCGGTCCTGGGGCCAGTTTTGTTCAATATCTTCATTAATGATCTGGAGGATGGTGTGGATTTCACCCTCAGCAAGTTTGCAGACGACACTAAACTGGGAGGAGTGGTAGATACGCTGGAGGGTAGGGCTAGGATACAGAGGGCCCTAGGCAAATTGGAGGATTGGGCCAAAAGAAATCTGATGAGGTTCAGCAAGGACAAGTGCAGAGTCCTGCACTTAGGATGGAAGAATCCAATGCACCGCTACACACTAGGGACCGAATGGCTAGGCAGCAGTTCTGCAGAAAAGGACCTAGGGGTTACAGTGGACGAGAAGCTGGATATGAGTCAACAGTGTGCCCTTGTAGCCAAGAAGGCCAATGGCATTTTGGGATGTATAAGTAGGGGCATTGCCAGCAGATCGAGGGACGTGATTGTTCCCCTCTATTCGACATTGGTGAGGCCTCATCTGGAGTACTGTGTCCAGTTTTGGGCCCCACACTACAAGAAGGATGTGGAAAACTTGGAGAGAGTCCAGCGGAGGGCAACAAAAATGATTAGGGGACTGGAACACATGACTTATGGGGAGAGGCTGAGGGAACTGGGATTGTTTAGTCTACAGAAGAGAAGAATGAGGGGAGATTTGATAGCTGCTTTCAACTACTTGAAAGGTGGTTCCAAAGAGGATGGATCTAGACTATTCTCAGTGGTAGCGGATGACAGGACAAGGAGTAATGGTCTCAAGTTGCAGTGGGGGAGATTTAGGTTGGATATTAGGAAAAACTTTTTCACTGGGAGGGTGTTGAAACACTGGAATGCGTTACCTAGGGAGGTGGTGGACTCTCCTTCCTTAGAAGTTTTTAAGGTCAGGCTTGACAAAGCCCTGGCTGGGATGATTTAATTGGGGATCGGTCCTGCTTTGAGCAGGGGGTTGGACTAGATGACCTCCTGAGGTCTCTTCCAAGCCTGATATTCTATGATTCTATGATTCTATGAACTAATGCTTATAAAGCACTGGGATGAAAGGTGCTATAGCAATGCAAAGCATTATGGGCCATATTCTGCCATCATGCTCAAGTTGAGTAGAACCTTGTTCCGTGAATCTCACTGAAATCGAGGGACTGTTTGTTGAGTAAATACTATAAGTGTGGAGTTTGCAAACAGGGGCAAATGTAGCCTCCCAGTTCAGTGGCTGCACCATCCCCTTCCAGGAGTCCCTGCCTGCTTCCACCCCACTTCTCACCCCCCTACTCTCTCCCACTCCCCAGTGGGCAGCCCTGCCTGTGTGAATGTGCATTCAGGCCTGATTTCTGTGGGTGCACTTGCACCCGTGGACCCTGTCTAGAGCAGCCACTGGTTTGCATGTTGAAAAAGGACATGAAGGGCCTGATTTTCTTCTCATTCCGTCTACACTGGTGTAACTAGGGTTGCCAACACTGTATTTCAGAAATACTGGACAGTTTTCTTAGTACCACCCTGCTCCTCACCCCCCTTGTTGGCTCATGTCTGTTCCACTTCATGGTCCTCGGCACCGAGATGAGTCCTCACTCTGTGCCCTCCCAGAAGCCTTTGCCTCCCCCTCCCAGGTCCCTACTCCTTACCTCACCCCAGTGATGAGCTGCCAGAAGCTGAAGAACCGGTTCCTTCAGTCACTCCGGGTCTTCGGCAGCACTGAAGGGCCCACCGCCGAAGTGCTGCTGAAGACCTGGAGCGAGTGAATGACTTGCCGCCGAAGACCCGGAGCGACTGAAGGACATGCTGCTGAAGTGCTGTCGAAGGACTGCAGAGCCGCCAGGTGAGTAGAGCTCAGGCGGGACGGACAGGATGGTCCCGCAGGCCGCATGTGGCCTGCGGGCTGGAGTTCGCCGAACCCCTTTAACAACCGGTTCTAAACCGGCTGCAAAATTTAACAACCGATTCGCGCGAACTGGTGCAAACCGACTTCAGCTCACCACTGCCCCTCCCTACTGGTGAACCTCAGATCCGTCTCACTTCCCAGGGAGCCAGCAAGATTTTAGGAGCTGAGAGCCCGGGACCAGCACACAGATCAGGGCCCGGGGTACTGCCCTGGCTGTGCTGCCATCCACGTGAGACTGTGACATGTTTGGTATCGCTGCCAGGGCATGCATGCTTGCAGCTTATGTTCTGGGTTTTTTTCACTGGGACCAGCATTCCCTTAGTGGATCCCAGTGAAAAAATAAATGACACATTTTCACCGCACTCGGCATGGCTGTACAAAAACTGGCCAGGAGGCAATCCTAGTTGAAATATGGGATCAAAGGCAACCCAAACTGATTAAAGAACATATTGCCTGTCCCATACTTAAATAAAGGACATCCCTTACAATATGGGGCAACTGTAGGTGTAATTACCTGGCCTCCAGTGGAGTTACTCCCAGTTTACACTTGTGTGAGAGGAGAATCAAAGTCCTTAAGAAAAAGCTGAGGCCTAATGACTTGTATTGAATTTCTCTGCTCTTGCAAAATCTATGTTTCTGAAAAATAGTTTGGCTAAAAATTTCTTTGAGGGAGGAAAAAAGGCTCATGAAAAGCCAACTACTGAAGAAACATTTCCTGCCTGCCAAGGCTCTGAACAGCTCCTTTTCTGTAGCTGTCTGAAAATGTTTTAGTCCTGAAGGAAAAAAACTCTGCAGATCATTCATTTCCAGGAACTGACACTAGGGGGAGTAAAACAGAATAAAAGGTTGGAGAGAAGTAAAGAAACCATAGAAGAGTTAAAGGAAGAAAAGAATCCGTGTTTTGATGGGTTGATTCTTTGAGTGAGCACTTTTGGATGGCTGCTCCTGTACTCACACTCCCTGTCTCATTCTTTTACACTTTGCAGGTCACACGTGGAATCAGCTGCGATCAGGTATGTTCTACAGAAGGGGCCAGGTGGGAAGAGCTCAGGATCTTCCTCCAGTCTGATGCAGCAGGAATGGGGTGGAGGGTAACACAGAGTCTTTGGTGGCAGCCAGTAACAAAGAGGAATAAATGTGGCCACATACACAACAATGAAGGAGGGCTGTGAGACCCAGGTCCAGCAATTGTAAGCCCAGGTTTACAATGCAGTGTGGACACTCGTGGGGGCTTGGAAATACTGAGGTTTACACAGACCCGGGTTTACAATGGAGTGTAGACATGCCCTTGGCAATCCTGGGCAAATCACTTAACCTTTCTGTGCTTCAGGCTCCCCACCTGTAAAAAAGTAGTAATAATACTTACCTACCTCACAGGAGTATCACGGGGCTATTTGTTTTAATGTTAGTAAAATGCTTTCAGATCCTTGGGTGGAAGGTGATGGGGAAGCCTAAAGTGATTTTATTATGAAGTGCCATTCTCTGATATGTATCAATCAAATGTCAGACCCATAACATGTGTTTGCTAATGTAAATTTCCTCCTGGATAACTCCTTTGCCCAACAATCTTATGTGGATTTTGCATGATCGTTAGGGAAATTGGAATCCGTAAAAGTAAAATACAGAAAGTAAATTTCAGATGCACACACAATCCTGCTTCCCTATGTGTTATGTTACTTAAAGGGAAACTATATCTTTATGCTATAGGCCAGTATTGTGAAATGATTAAGCAGCACAACCAATTTTATAAAATTCAATCAAAATAGCAATGAAAAGGTAGATTGTTTCTCTATACCCTTTCCAAAGCCACCCCTTGTGAGTGGGAAAAACTGGAAAAAATCCGGAAAACCCCTCACCTTATCTTCCTTCCAGTCCCTCCCTTCAGATCAACTGTGCCTCCTGCAGAGCACTACCAGTTGAAATGGTTTGCTTACATAGCAAGTTGAGACCCACTGCTTAGGGTAAAATAGCTTGTGCTCCCCTTCCTGCTGTTCTGTTTGTCGCATTTACTTCTTGCACTTTGTCATAAACTAGGCCCTGATCCTGCAAACGCTTATGCATGAGCTTGACTGCAAGGGCAATTCCATTGAAGTAAATGGCACTGCTCACATGCATAAGTGATTCCAGACTCAACGCCCTACATTGTTAGCTTTCTGTGGCATGACTGTCTTTTACTGTGTCTGTACAGTCAGTGTAATGGGGTCCTGATTCTTGGCTAATGCCCCTAAGAAATACTGTAGTACAAAATTAAAACTAATACTATAAACAAATGTTGCTATCTTTTATTATCAGAATGCATGTTGGAATCCATGTCTTTGCACAGAAATATAAATGTGAAAAACAGAACTATTCCAGGTTTCAGAGTGGTAGCCGTGTTAGTCTGTATCAGCAAAAAGAATGAGGAGTCCTTGCGGCACTTTAGAGACTAACACATTTATTTGGGCATAAGCTTTTGTGGGCTAAAACCCACTTCATCAGATGCATGCAGTGGAAAATACAGTGGAAGATATATATCCACAGAGAACATGAAAAAATGAGTGTTGCCATACCAACTGTAACGAGACTAATCAATTAAGGCGGGCTATTATCAGCCGGAGGAAAAAAAACTGTTGTAGTAATAATCAGGATGGCCCGTTTCAAACAGTTGACAAGAAGGTGTGAGTAACAGCAGGGGGGAAATTAGCATGGGGAAGTAGTTTAAATGAGCTCCTTAGTCATTTCTGCACCGGACATTATAAATATCTTTTATGTTTGAAAAGCAGAACAGGGTTCCTTGAAGTAATAAAAATAATACATTTATAGCATTTTACATCTTCAAAGCATTCTACAAACATCAGCTATGCCTCAACCCCTGTGAGAAAGGTGGATCAGTATTATCATCTGCAGCTTGCACAAAGAGAAACTGAAGTGAAGCAACTTGATGAAACCACACATCAACTGAGTTTCCCAGCTGGGGTTATGTCACATGATTTCCTGTCTCCCCTGCCAACACTGTGCTCAGTCCTGCAGGCTACTTGCAGCCAGGGACTCTGCATGCTGTTAGTTGACCCCTTCTTGCAGGGATAGATGGCATCTGCAGTCATTTCCACAACTAGATCCACAGGTTGGAAATACATATTTGTGCATCAGTCAATTTGTTAAAACAGGGCAGCTGTAAAGACACAGAGATGTCTTGCCAGACAAGAGTTAACTGTGAGGATCTTTATGACTGTAGAAATGGTCAAATAATATTAGAATAATGTAGGGGTTCTCAAACTGGGGGTCTTGAGGTTATTACACGGGGGTCACTGGCTGTCAGCCTCGCACATGGCGGGTCTCTGGCTCTAAAGAAAGGGTGCCAAAATAGAAGTTCATCCAAGGTGCAATTTTCTCTAAGACCAGTCCTGAGACTACGACAACATTATAGGACTTACTTCTGGCACCTTAGAGACTAACCAATTTATTTAGTCTCTGAGGTGCCACAAGTCCTCCTTTTCTTTTTGCGAATACAGACTAACATGGCTGCTACTCTGAAACCTGTCATTATAGGGCTTGATTGTTCAGCAGCTGAAGAGCTGCATTAAACTGCAGACCAATCAGAATATTAAGAGTGGCCAAAAAAACCCTCATTTATAATTAACAGTCAGACTCACAGGCAAGGGTGGTCCTGGGGGAGGCTTGCAGGGGCTATAGCCACCCCAAAATTTGCCTTAGCTCACCCATAGCCGCCCATCCCAGCACAAGGGAAACTTTCCACAGAAGTAAGGATGGCATAGGATGGCATTGCTACCTTTGCAGTTCTCTGCTGCTGCTGGTGGCGGCGCTGCCTTCAGATTTGGGCACCCGGCCAGCAGTCACCACTCTCTGGCCACCCAGCTCTGAAGGCAGTGCCTGCCGCCAACAGCAGCACAGAAGTAAGGGTGGCAATGGCACAATGTGAACAATGATATTGACAAAGTTTCTTCGCCCCCCCATCCGCCCCCCCATATTAAATAGTAACTATTTAACTCAAGAGGCTTGCTGTGTGAAAGTGGTCACTCATACAAAAAGTTTGAGAAACAACTGGCATAATGGATTAGAATGACTTTCCTTCCATTTAAAAAAATTTTTTTTTTTATTTACTAAATAACATTTCTCCAGCTCTAACTTTAGTATGTTACCCTAGATCACTGCTGCCAAAGGGAGAGAAATAAAGTCTTGTTTATCTAGGATATTTTTTCTTCTTTTTCAGAGAAGAAGTCGATTTATAAGAACAGCAAAATACAACTGACCTCCAGCCATTTTGGAATGGGGTACATTCAGACTGGACATTTAACTACTGCTGTACCTGATCTCTGCATCAATGAAGACCTTCGTCCACGGGGCTCTCTCAGCAGCCCCAAATTCGTTTTTTTGAAAAAGTGAACCAAGTGACTGATTACAGGAAAGGCTTTATAGTGTGCACAACCTAAGGTTATCTCTGCACTCAGAAAACATTGTGCACTCATATTATGTGCCTGAGGGGAATGCATGATGGAAATACACATGAGATGGGCTTTGTTCATGAACAGGTCCTGTTTGGGCTATGATAAGTATATGATTTTTTTTAAATGAATGAAATCAAAGGTGCCCCAAAACTAGAGATGGGTTCAAGCAGCAACATTCATCTGCATTGACATTGCAAGCACCTCAGAGATGGGGCTGAAGGGAGAGAAAATGGCAAGAGGGGTTGCTCAGCCCAGTGCAAATATAGGGGCCATTTGGAAAATGTGGAGTAAGGTTTAGTTTTTGAACACCAGCCCCTTGATGCAAAAGCTACGGGTGTTCTGATTTGGGGCCTCAATTCTGTACCTGAACTAGAAGGTAGAGAAAGGGGATTACTCATGATCTTTCTTTAATATATATTTAGGACCCTTTGTTTTCATTTTTTATTTTATTTTTTTTTCCTGGGAATTTATCAGTGTTTATTACCATAACAACAAAAGCAGGTGAAAATCAGTGCAAAAAACTATTATGAATTTTTTTTTGTAAATACCAGGTCTATTTTGGTGGACAGAAAGATGGGGGGGAGGTATTCAGTAGATTTGAATTCTGTTCATCAGTGTGGTTTGCTGCAGAACTAAAACAGAACTCAAAACACAATGCCACCTCTGAGTTTAAGAAAACAATATATCTCGAATCCCCAATAAAACTTTTCATTTGAATAAACAGTTTACTGTTGTAGACTTAGACCTATTAGCCTATATTTACATTTAATGATTGGGCCACACCATGTGCAGCTTGTACACTCAGCTTCATCCTTTAAGCTGTGAATCTAAACTTTGTAGCTCTGGCTCATCTCTACAGACACATACATTCTACAATATCATATTTTAATCCTGGGCTTGATTGCTAAATCTGAATTTAGAGCCAGCTTCTGCTCTCAGTTACATCAGTATCAGTCTGGAGTAATTCAGTTGAAATAAGTGGAGTTTCCCCAGTTCTGCACCAGAATTTGTCCTTTTATTCAACAGTGCTTTTAGTGGTGGTAGCCTGAACCCCAAACTGGAAACACTGTGTCTCAATAAGAAGGACTGACCACTTGTTCATGTGTTTGCCGAACCATGGAAACAAAGGCCTCAAATTCAGTAATGAACAGGAGCAGACTCAGTTGATCCTACATGGTTAACCAAGAGCTGAATGAGGGTCTTAATGATCAATGCACATTCGTTACTTGGCCATATCATAACTGCACAGCTGTAATGCCAATTTTTTGCGCCTGTGAAGAAAAAATATGTTTACTGTGTCTAAAATCATGACAAAACCATTATTTGTTCTATACTCAGCAAACTGGGGAATTCCAGATATGTCAGTGAAACTAGTCACCGTGGATCTCTCTGCTTTGAAATACACCTCATCTTTCATTGCTCAGAATAAGGGGGAAATGCAGTCGAGACAAAGAAAAGAGCTATATTAGAATGATTTGCCTGGATTCCCAAGGTGTCTTTTATCCGATTCAATAGCAAATGTTGCTAATGAACTGCTATGTTAACAGATCACCTAAAGCAGTAATGTGATACTTGTAAGTAATTTTGTGGGGGTGGGGGAGAGAATAAACCATTGTGTAGGGTATCTATTGATTGATTTGCTTCCTTTAGCATCATTTTCATTAAGACTTCTGGTTTGGAACAGGAGAGAGGATGTGGTCATGGAGGGAAGCTGTACCTTTACTTATCTTTATGAACAACTCTTTCCTTCACACCCTTGCAGAACTGCATAGGAAAATGAGACATTACAGGCAGGCAGTGAATGGGCAGGGTTGGGGAGTCAGGGTTAATAATATGGATCAGGTAAATTTAAAGGGCTGAAGAATAATACTCTGTCCAGGAGAACATGGGCTAGGAATAAAAAATATATTATGGATGGGAGTTTCAAAAGCACGCAGGAGTGGCCTCGCTCTGCTCCCATTGAAATCAATGGCAATGTGAATGTATGATAACTCTCCCCCACTAGCTCTGTCTCATAGATGATGGGCATAATAGGCCAGGGAAGACTAACCCTCCCGTGGCGCAGCTGCTGCTACCATGCCACCTGATGCCTGGGCCATGGTGGCCCCGCCCGTGCTCTACCTCTTTTCCTTCCTGCTCTGCCCCTTCCTCGAGGCCTCCACCACTACTTGGCAGCTGAGTGCTTCCTCTCCTTCACTCCATCCCCCCTCTCCAGAGGTCCCCACCACTCCACGCATCCTCGTGGGCGGTGGAGACCTCGCTGGGGACAGGGGGGTGCAAGGGATGAGGGACGTGGAGAGCGCATGCAGCAGTGGCCTTGGGAGAAGGGGTGTGTGGAGGAGAGGAGGAATGCAACAAGCAGCAACGGGGGGCGGGGTGAGCAGGGGGGACTGGCGTAGAGTGTGAACGGGGCCCCGGGTGGAAGAGGTGGGAGTCAAGCAAAGAAGAGGTGGGACAGGGAGCTAGCCTACCCCAGCGGAAGCTTCACCCACCGCCCATGCTCTGCCTCTGTGCTATCTACTTAGACTGCAAGCTCTTCAAAGCAAGGCCTGGCTTACAATGGGTCTATAAAGTGCCTAGCACACACTTTAATGCACTATGGTCAACATTTTCAGAAGTGCTCATTAATTCTGTATTCTTCTGGAGGGCTCTGACCAATGATGAGCTGCCAGAAGCTCAAGAACCAGTTCCTTCACTTGCTCCAGGTCTTCGGAAGCACTTCGGTGGCACATCCTTCAGTTCCTCCGGGTCTTCAGTGGCACTGAAGGACCCACAGCCGAAATGCTGCCAAAGACCCGGAGCGAGTGAAGGACCCGCTGTTGAAATGTCGCCGAAGACCCGGAGCAAGTGAAGGACCTGCCGCCAAAATGCCGCTGAAGGCTCAGAGTGCCACCGAGTCAGTAAAAATTCACATGGGAGCCTCCCCAGCCAAGAGCTCAGGCAGGACAGACAGGACAGTCTCGCAGGCCACATCCTGTCTGTCCCGCCTGAGCTTCCCCACCCCTTTAACAACTGGTTCTAAACCGGCTTCAAAATTTAACAACTGGTTCGCGCGAACTGGTGTGAACCGGCTCCACCTCACACTGGCTCTGACCCTGCACCATTGAACTCAATGGGACCTCTGCCCATGATCAAGTCCTGTTTGTGTGCCCAACTTGAGACACCTTGTGCCTAGTTGTCAGAGATGCTGAGCACCCAAAGCGCTCAGTGAAGTCATTGGAGTGACTCTGGATTTATACCAGTGTCAACGATTTCAGAATTAGCCCCCTGATATGCAGACAACTACTTTCACTATTTCCTACTGGACCATGCTCCTTCCTCCTAGCAGATGTACAGAATAATGATGGATTGGCTCATTTAGATGAGAAAACAAATGTTTACTTGTATGCCACCTACTAACAGTTAGGGTTTCATACACACCATGCATTTTTAACGAAGAAGTAAGCAATCAGTACATTTAGTGACAAACAGTTGTCCAGCAGCAGCTGGAATTGTTCACTAGACAAAGAGAGAGAGTCAAATTCTCCTCCCAGTTACACCACTGTAAATCAGGAGTAATTGTTGAAGTCAATGGGCCTGACTGTGCTCTTACTCATATTGGTATAAAATAGGAGTAATTCCACAGAACTCACTGAAGTTACATTGGTATAAAAGCAGTGGCAGTGAGATGGCAATCAGTCCCAGTGAAACAGGCCGCACTCGTATACATCTGGTAAATGAGCGAAGAATCTTCTCCCATGTTTCCCAAACAGGACACATTGTGAAACATGTCAATAGGCAAAACAGTTGCCTCCTGGATATCCCTTAACTATTCTCCTGCCCATAACTGGAAAATCAGGTCGCTTTAAATGCAGGAAACAAAAATGCCCTTCGCTAATCAAGTGCAACAGAAACAGACAATTACCAAAGAAGGGGCTCTGTCTGACTCACCAATGACAAAAAGGAAAAAATATAGCCAAAGGAAAATATATACCTACCACACCAGTATGGCATATGGGTAGAATACCTGAAGACATGACACACATCCACAGAGTACTAATTAAACACAAGACTGAATCAGAGAAAGGTACGTGTGGTGATGGAACAGCAGGTGTGGTTTTCTAAGAGCTATGGGGCACCTACAATTCCAGTGGGAGCTGTGAGGGTTCAGTACCTCTGAACCCCCCTTACACATGTACCGGTCTATCATAATCAGAAGGGAGTGAAATAAAAATGAGTTGCTCTTGGCTATATCATACACAAGGCCCTTATCTTCTCTAATTTGATATCTACGTCCTTATCTGGCCCCCCATTACCATAGCATCTGAGCACCTCACCATCTTCAATGTAATGAACCTCCCAAGACCCCAGAGTGGTAGGGAAGTGTTCTCCCCATTTTATGGAGAGGGCCATGAGGCATAGGATGGATTAAATGATTTGTTCAAAGCCCCTCAGGACACATACAGCAGAGTATGGAAAAGCACCCTCCCTAGCCTGGGGCTTTACAACTGCACAATCCCGCCTCTCTAATATTGCTGCTGGGTGATGATTACCATGTTTTGTCTTACCTAATGCATGCTCTTGTCAGATACCTTAAAATTAGACCCTATAATTCTCTTTTCATTCACAGCAATGTGAACCAGGCGACCCGGCAGAGAACTCTGTGGCATTATGTTGGTATAAATGCAGCGTGAGCTGACACTCAGAACCAAATACAAATGTTCTCCTGCGAATAAAGCCCATCCTCTGTGTTCCTTTTACAAACTTGTTCAGTCTTTGTACACCATGCAATGGGTGGGCATAGGACGGTGGTAAAGTCTAACTTGTAGTACCAGCCCCAGTGCTAACTCATGGTTTCTCCTGAATGTGATCATCACAAAGGCATTTCACCAGACAGATTATGTTACACTTGTGGCTAGAGAATTAATTCTGAGTTATGCATGATTAAAATTATTACTTTTAACCGTATTCTTCAGTAATTCCAGGATGCTCAGAGAAAACTCAAAGGCCTGGGACCAAATGCAGACACGTTCTCTTGTGACTATTGTAAGGGGACTTGTGTCCCCTTTCTAAAACTCAGTGGGGGTGTTTCAGTTGGCTAGCTCCCAGTAACAAAAGAAAGGGGATGGGTTGATGGGGAATCAGGACCCTGAGACTGACAGTCCCCAGAAACAATGGGGAGAGGCCATTGCTCTAGGTCAGCCTGATTGACAGGGCAGGCAGGCGAATCAGGGAGTCAGGAAGCCAGGGAGGGTCCTGTTCTCCCTGTGAGCTGGAATTGCCCCCAGACAGAGTGGGGCAGAGCTAAGGAAAAAGCGGGGGCCCAAGCTGAGTTGGGGAGCAGAGCTGTGCCAGATCCAGAGGGGCCAGAAAAGCAGCCCAGGAAGCAGGTCAATGGTTGGAGCAGAGTCACAGAAGCAGCCTGCAGAGCAGACCTGTCCTGGGAGCAGAGCTGCAGCAACCAGAGCCAGAGGGGCCAGAGAAGCAGCCCAGGGAGCTGGAGGCAGAGCAGCAGCCGCCGTGCTGAGGCAGAGTGGAGCTGGAGCTGAGGCTTAGTGGA